TTAGTTTCTTTCCTGGATAAACTTACAAGAGCAAGATTAGGAGTTTGGGTCAAAGTCCCTGATATTGTAGCTGATCTCAAAGCCATACAGATACTAATTTCTTCTCTCCCTCCTTTCACTCTCAGATAGTACCCTTATTGCTTTAGGTGGCTACCCAGTGAGATGGTTCAGACCCTCTTTTCTTGTTAGTCTGAGTCTCTGGTCACAGTTTTAAGGTTATGGCAGCTTTACTTGTCCATTTGCCTCCAAAATTGGCAAGGGAGTATCAAGAAATCCCAGAGGGGATCATTTGGATGCCAAATATGTGTCCTGCTATATTTATAACTTCTAGAATAGTGATATTTTTTCTTGCATATTGCTTTGTTAGCATAAGAGGCCTAAAGTGACAGTGTGACAGTCAAAACTTAAAGGTTAGTAAACTCTTGCTATATATTTTGGTAGAAGCACCGCTTCCTTGGAACCAGGACTTCTAGATCTGCAGAGTGTAGAGTTTTGAAAATGGCAAACATGAATTCTCCAAGTTGGTCTCTGGTAGTAATGGTAAACAGAACCACCCCTCTTCCATTTCTTAGGTCCTGGACCCATGTATTCAAGGATGAGCCCATTGAATGATCATTAATGTAAAGTATGGTATGGTTTGAGAAATGGTGTCCCCTGCAAAATTCATATTGAAACTTAATCCCTAATGAACAGTATTAAGTGCCATGAAGGCTCCATCCCCATTAATGGGATCACCACCATTATAAAAGGGCTTTTGAGGTTAAAGAAAAGAATCTCTTGCCATTCTGTCCTCTGCTGTGTGAGGATACATCGATAAGACACCATCTTAGAAACAGAACAGCCCTCACTAGACACCAGTGCTACTGCCTTGATTTTGGACTTCCCGGCCTCCAGAACTGTAAGAAATAAAGTTCTGTTGTTTATATATTTTCCATTCTCAGATTTTCTATTGTAGCAGCATAAATGGGCTAAGACAGGGTGTATTTCCCATCTTCACAGTATAGCATCTCCAAGGTTATCCCTCAGGCATACTTTTTAAGAGCCATTCTATCACACTATGAGGTCATTAGCTTCTAAGAGTATGGTATGTGATAGGACCATGGTCATTTGCCCACTGCTTTATTATCTTGGTTTGAGGCAGTGTTGTATGGGATCCCTTGCTGGCAGACCAAACATTCCATGAGTCCTCATAAAGTGATGGTGGTTGAAGCCTTCTAGGAAGATAAGGTAAATATATACCAACAGTTTCAATTTGCATTAAGATAAATTATTGCTCCTTGCAGGTACAAGAAATCCAGTTTAACCAACTTGCTAACTAATAGTTGGCTGATCTTTTTAAATGATGGCAAGATTGGGGGCTTACTATGGTCTCTTTTGCTGAGAGGTTGTATAGTTAGCATTGGCAGTAATTGGATAAGCCTTCCTCAGTGGCTACCCTTACCACTGGGCTCATGCCTCGCCTCCATCTAGGTCACCATGGCTATTCCCTTTGTGGTCACATTGTGCCAGCATTGGGGTGGCCAGTGGCAGTGATTAGATTAACTCAATTTACCAACTCATCCTGTCTCTTTGGTTACTAATACCTCTTCTGTGGCTGACATTCTCTGGTGGTCATTAACATATGAATCAGCTCACAAGTGTAATCCCTGAACTCTGGGAGACTGATGTGGGTGGATCACTTGAGCTCAGGAGTAAGAGACCAGGCTGGGCAATATGGTGAAACCCCATTTTTACAAAAAAAAAAAAAAAAAAATACAAATACAAATATTTGGTGGGCATAATGGCACATGCCTGTGGCCCCAGCTACTTGGGAGGCTAAGGTGGGAGGACTGCTTGAGCCCAAAAGGCAGAGGTTGCAGTGAGCAGAGATCACACCACTGCATTCCAGCCTGGGTGACAGAGCAAGATCCTATCTCAAACAAACAAAAACTTCTGTGTTTCAAAACAAACAAACAAACAAACAAACAAACAAACAAACCATGTGAATCAGAGATTCTATTTGTTTCTTCTCCACATAGGTTCATCCACATACCTCTTGCTCAGACCTCCTTATTCCTGGCCTTCCAGTTTTAGTCTTTCCAGGCCCCTTTCATCTCACACAGGATGAATGACTATGCATCACCTAAAGCTCCCCCCATTTAGGCTATTTCCTCTCACCATCGCCTTTCTGGGGCATTTCTGAAGTGGAGCTATAGTGCAGCTGCAGTCCATTATTAGCATATATCCACATATTAAGTTGTTCAGCCCATGAACCAAGCTTGGCCTTTTTTCTCTTCTGCCAGCTGATCACAGGTACTTCCTGCAATGTGGCTTACATGAGAGTGGAGGGAGAAGCACCAGTGCCACACATGCTGAGTCATGGGAATCTGAGTTACCAGCTTGTGCTTCCTACTTATGCCCTCTGGCTCTGTTCATGCTTGATCCCATTGTATATGACTTCCATCCTATGCTGGGTTGTTTTAGGGACTTCCTGAACTTACGACTTGATGAGTCTGAAAGGACTTAGCTCTTAATGAAAAATTCTGCTCAAGTAGTCACTCAGTGTCCCAGAGTCCAGTAATATGTCAGGAGAAGCTTTTCTAATGATAGAGAGTTTTCTGCTGCGAAGGGCATAGCCTTGTTTCACAATACTAGTATCAATGGTGTGATTGTTCTTTGGGGTTTACCAGAATTACATATAGTGCCATTTTTTTCCTTCCAAATATCTTTTAAACACTACTTCTGCTATAGAATCCATACATACAATTTGTTTTCACATTTTGAACCTGCTATAGAGCCCTTTCCAGCTCTGCCCCACTTAGAAATAGTTTTCCATGTTATTTGATAAATGGTTCAAAGTAACATTCATGAATGTGACACTGATCACTTTATTACCTCACAGCTCCAAATCTGCTTTTTAGCACCCTGTTTGTGATACTGGACCTGTATCTTATAAAAGCTTTTCTTTTGCCAGCTTGCAGATAGGGAGGCTTAGCCAGTAAGCAGATCTAGGAGGGCTTTTTTTTCTAGTTCAATTGAGGTTTCCTTGTTTCCTGTGGTTCTCAGCTGGCGTGTGGGACATCCAATGCACTCCTTGATTTCAATATGGGTGATCTTATTATGGAGAAGAAGAGGCCAAATGGAAGCACTTAACTTCTAAAAGCAAGGTGAGCACACCTTGCTACCCTAAAATACAGCAGAGACATACTGGTAATCAGAATGCCTTGACCTGCAAGGACCCTTGGCAGTGGCTAATTGATTGTGTTGTCCCTAGTAACAAAATTTATGGACAATCTACTAGAATATTGCTTGACCTATATAACCAAAGAAACCTGCTAGCTCTGGAAAGAGAAAATCTAATGTGTGTCACCATAGTGTGAGTTACAGCCTCATTTACAGACATATGCCAATTCACAGATCCTTGGTTCCTTGATTGAAGGGAAGTCTGAGTCCCCTAGAGGAAGGACCCTATAACACTGTCACAAGTATATGCTGTAAATCTCCCCCCATGCCTTTTGCAAGGGACCTGTGGCCATACTACAGTGACTGTGCATTGGAGGAAAAGGAAATGCATAAGCCTGTGAGAGATTACTAGATACTGGCTTTGAATTGATGCTAATTCCTGAGGATACAAAGTGAGGGGCTTATGGAAACCATATAATAAATGGAATCTTAGTTCAGATCTTAATTATAATAGGTAGAGTTTATCCCCAGGCTCATTAAATAGTTATTTGCTCCAGTTTCTCAATGTACAATATAAAAAGCTACACTGGATAGAATAGGTGGAATATGCACATGTCTCTTTGATACATCATATGTGAGCTATTTTGGTAGAAAGGGCCAAGTAGGAGTCTTGGAACTTTTCCTCACCACCGAGATAGTTAACCAGAAGCAATACCCATAGCCCTGGAAGAACTGCAGAGATTGGTGGCACCATCAAAGATTTGAAAGGTGCATGGGTGTGAAACCTATTATATTTCCATTTAATCCACCTGTTTGGCCTGTGTAGAAGTTGAGAAGATCTTGGAGAAAAACTGTGGACTATTATAAATTTAACTGGTTGTTGACTGCAATTGCAGCTGCTATCCAAGATGCAGCGTTTTTACTATAGCAAATCGACATGGCCTTGGGCAGTTGGTAGGCAGCTATTCACTTGGGTAATGATGTTTTCTCCATACTAATTTTCAAGAACTACCAGAAGCAGTATGTTTCTGGAAGAGCCAACAGTAGAGCTTTACATCTTAGATCTGCATCAATTCTTCTGCTCTCTGTCATAATGTAGTCTGCAGTAATCTTCATCTTGACCTGCTACAAAACATTGCACTGGTCTTCTACATTGATGGCATTATGTTGTTTGGATCTGACGCGCATGAAGTAACATGCATTTTGATGCCTTGGTAAAATGTATATGTTCTAGAGGGTGGAAAATAAAGTGCATGTAATTTCAGGGACCTTCCACCTCGGCAAATTTTCTGGGGGTTCACTCATCTGAATCATGTATAGATAGCCCGCTCAAAGATGAAATACAAGTTACTACCCCTTATGCCATCCACCATGAAAAAAGGCACAATTCTTGCTTTCTGGACGTCAGAGTCAATATATTACCACACATGAGAGGGATACTTCAACCTATCTACAAAATCACCACGCAAGTTTGCCCATTTCAACTGGGGACCAGAGACAAAAAAAGGCTCTGTAGCAAGTCCAGGCTGCATTGCCAGCTGTTTTATTATTTGAGTCTGTTGATTCTGCAGATTCAATAAATTTTAAGTCTCTTTGGCCACTAGAATGCAGTACAGAGGCTATGACAAGAGCCAATAGATCATAATATAGACCTCTGGTATTTTGGAGTAAATCTATGCCATCTTTTGTCAATAACTTGTATTTTTGAGAAAGAACTACTGTTTGTTGCTAAGCCTAATTAAGGGACATCAGATGACCATGTGGCTTGACCGTCTCATTATGAACTGGGTTTGTCTGACTCAGCCATAAGGTTAGGTGTACAACCACCATCAGGTAGAATGGTATATAAGAAAGAGCTCAGGAAGGTACGGAAAGTACAAGTAAGTCATGACAAATGGCTCTTGATCCTTCAACAAAAATTTCTGTTGCATTGCTTCCTCTCCAATTATCCATATCCATGATCTTCTGTAGATTTTGTTATGATCAGGTGACTAAGGATTAAAAAAGTCAAGCTTAGTTGCAAGTATGTCTCATGGCATGCTGGTGCCACCTGGAAGTGGACAGTTATAACACTGTAGTCTCACTAAGGGGTGACCCTGAAGGATGGTTAGTGTTCAAGGAATCTTCCTGTTGAGTGAAAGTTCAAGTGGAACATTTGGTTTTGCACTTTGTCTGGAGTGAGACATGAGTGACAAATAGAAATGAGGACTAAACAGTTTGGTTTGATGGTTAGGTTTAGAAAAGAATGAAATTGGGAGATTGGTAACAAGATAGTGTGGGGAAGAAATATCTGAACAAACTTCTCAGATGGATGCAGCCTTTGAAAATATTTGTGCCACGTTTGAATGTCCTAGAAAGTACATCTATTACAGAGAAGGATCTTAATAACAAAGTGAACAAAATTACATAGTCTGTGGATGTCAGTTGGCCTCTTTCTTCAGCCACTCAAGTGATTGCTCAATGGGCTCATGATCAGAGCAGCAAGGATAAAAGCTACACAAGGACTCAGCAGTGTAAAGGTTCTCTTACCAAGGCTGACCTGGATAGCACTACTGCTAAGTGCCTAATTTGGTAAAGTAGACATCAGTGTTGAGTCCCTGATAGGATACCATTCTCTGGAAGAATCAGCTAGATACCAGGTGGCAGGTTGATTATTATGGAGAAGACAGATATCTGTCCTCACTAGAATAGACATATGTCCCAGATGTGGATTTGCCTTCAGTGTCCATAATGTTTCTACCATAACCACCATCCATAGATATACGGAATGTATTATCCATTATCATGGCATTCTACACAGCATTTCTTCTTATCAATAAGATCATTTTATAGCAAAGGCAGTAAATAACATGTGGGTATGCCCATAGAAATGAACTAGCGTCACCACATACTTTATCACCTGGAAGTGGCTGGCCTAAATAGAAAGTGAAATGACTCACTGAAGGCATAGTTACAGCACCAGTTAGGACATAATGCCCTGAAAAGATGGCATTCTGTCTTACAGGATGTAGTATATGCTTTGGATCAGGTTCCACTGTTTGGTGCTCTCTTACCCATAGCCAGAATATGTGGATTCTTGAATCCAGGGGTGGAAGAGGAAGTGGCTCTTCTTATTATGATTCTCAATAATTCACTTGCAGTATTTTTCTTCCCATTTTGGCATCTTTGTACTTTACTGGATTAGAGGTCCTAATACCCAAGAGGAGAATGCTTCCTCTAGGGGACACAGCAATAGTCTCACTGAATTAGTTGAGACTGCCACCTGGCTTCTGGGGCTCCTTATAGAATTGTATCAATGGCAGAAAAGGGCTTACTCTAATGATTGAAGTGATTGATCCTGATTAGCAAGGAGAAATTGGGCTGCTAGGCAATGGGGTCCAAAATGTCCGTGTCTATAGATTTTCTGGGGCATGACTTTTAATGCTTTCCTGCCCAGTAGTGCAGGTAATGAAAAACTAGAACCATAGAAGGCAGGATTATTAGGACTCAAACCCTTCGCAGTGAGGTTTTTTTTAAACTACCAGATTTAAAAAAAACAAAAAACAAATAACAAAAAAAAATCAAAACGCACTGACCATCTGAGGTTCTGATTTCCAGCAAGGAAAATAGTGAATGGGTAGCAGAAGAAGGAAGTCACAGATACCAGCTCCAGCTTTATGACCACTTTATGGAAACAAGGACTATTTTCATATTTTATCTTTGCTTGTTTTGCTTATGGTTTATATGAATATACTAACCACTTCTTCTCCCTCCTTTTTACCACTGCTAATATATATATACATCCAAGTTTTTCAGGGAAACTTTACCGTTTAGTCTTTAGGCAACAGAATATTCAGGAGGATACTAAATTTGAGGATAAGTAGTAGAGTCAGATATGGATACAAAAACTTTGCGACCATGTGTCTCCTTATTTAGGGGAAAAGCATGAGAACTTCCTTACTTGTATAAAGGATAGCTGTGTTGTGTGAGGTGAAAGCATATGTGTTTTATTGTATGGAAGTTCCAATGTGTATAGGAGAATGCATAGAGCAGTTGAATATTCAAAGGGGTGGACGGTGTCTGATATCAAGTTATTGCCTCTCAGCTCCAAAGCTACTCATGATTGCCCTGCTGCTAGAGTTGGATGTTATGAGCTCCTCTCCTTTGCCAGCAGGCATGATAGTACACTTTGGCAGTAGAGGGCACTGGAGGGTCACTTCAAGAGAAAGGAGGTTCTGTTCCTGGTTCTGGCAAACCTTCTTTGCTTCTGTCTTCTGGAATGCTGAGTTGCTGTGGGGAATACCTAGTGGAGCTCACTTGCAGTGAGTTTTAGCTGAATCTCACAGGAAGCCTCTGGTGAATCCCACAGACTCCAGCTGGCTTCCCAGTGGGTTCCACAGCACCCCTTATTGGCAGCTTTCCAGCAGTTTATTTATTTATTTATTTATTTATTTTTTAATTATTTAATGCATTTTAGGTTTGGGGGTACATGTGCAGAACATGCAAGACAGTTGCATAGGTACACACCTGGCAGTGTGTTTTGCTTTCTTTCTCCCCTTCACTTACATTTGGCATTTCTCCCCAGGCTATCCCTCCCCACCTCCCCCTCCCGCTGGCCCTCCCCTTTTCGCCTCAATCGACCCCAGTGTTTAGTACTTCCCTCCCTGTGTCCATGTGTTCTCATTTTTCATCACCCGCCTATGAGTGAGAATATGCGGTGTTTCATTTTCTGTTCTTGTGTCAGTTTGCTGAGAATGATGTTCTCCAGATTCATCCATGTCCCTACAAATGACACTAACTCATCATTTCTGATTGCTGCATAATATTCCATAGTGTATATGTGCCACATTTTCCCAATCCAGTCTATCATCGATGGGCATTTTGGTTGATTCCAGGTCTTTGCTATTGTAAACAGTGCTGCAATGAACATTTGTGTGCATGTGTCCTTATAGTAGAACGATTTATAGTCCTTTGGATATATACCAAGTAATGGGATTGCTGGGTCAAATGGAATTTCTATTTCTAGGGCCTTGAGGAATCGCCACACTGTCTTCCACAATGGTTGAACTAATTTACACTCCCACCAACAGTGTAAAAGGGTTCCTTTTTCTCCACATCCTCTCCAGCATCTGTTGTCTCCAGATTTTTTAATGATCGCCATTCTAACTGGCGTGAGATGGTATCTCAATGTGGTTTTGATTTGCATCTCTCTGATGACCAGTGACGATGAGCATTTTTTCAAATGATTGTTGGCCTCATATATGTCTTCTTTCGTAAAGTGTCTGTTCATGTTGGTCAATCTTAGCAAGAAGCATCTCAGAGATGAATTTACCCCTCAGTAGCCAATCCCCTGTTACTAGTAGTTAGTAATTATTTTCAGCTTTATCAAGGCATAATTGACAAATAAAAATTGTATGTATTTAAGGTGTATACCTTGATGGGTTTTCTTGTTTGTTTTTGAGACAGGGTCTTTCTCTATCACCCAAGTTGGAGTGCAGTGGTATAATTACAGCTCACTGCAGCCTCGACCTCGTGGGCTCAAGCAATCTTCCAGCCTCAGTTGCTCAAGTACCTGGGACTACAGACATGTGACATCATGCCTGGCTAATTTTTAAACACTTTTTGTAAAGACAGGGTTTCACTATGTTGTTTAGGCTGGTCTTGAACTCCTGGGCTCAAGCAATCCTCCCACCTCAGCTACCCAAAGTGCTGAGATTATATGCGTGAGCCACCACACCTAGTCCCTACCTTGATGTTTTGATATATGCATGCTAATTAACATATTCATCAACTGAAGTTAATACTTCTTTATATTAAACTTTTCTGACTGTACCCTAACTGACATACCAGGTTTAGAATATACTGCCCCCAGAGCCTCTGTTTCCTCCTCAGTATTAGAATAGACAAGATGAAAGAATTTGCCCCCTAATTTGGAGATAATATCCTGGAATACCCATCTACTGGTCCCCTAAAACTTTTGCTGATATGGTAGGACCCCAAATCTTTGTAGGGTCTTAATCTTCCACCCTCTGCCTAGTATGTACTTTACCAAGTCCTCTAATATACTTATCTCTTCTTGCTTATTTTGTCCAATTAATACGTCTTCTACATAGTGGCCCATTGTAAAATCTGTAGAATTTCCAAATGGTTCAGGCCCTGGAACCTATTATAATAGTAGATAGAAAAGTTAACATAGTTCTAGGCAAATCTAAATTTATACTGTTACCCATTCTACCTGAATATGATCCTCTGCTGATCTTCTTGTTAGGAACGGGGAAGAACACATTTGCAAGACAACTGACTTTATAACATATACCCAAGCCAAGAATTATCACTTTTGGCACAGCATGTACAATGGAAGTTAATACTTGTTTGAGTTTGTAATCCACTATTTTTCTCTAGGATCCATAAGGTTTTTGTAGAGGCCAAATTTAAATTTGTCAATTAAATGAGAAAATAATAGGGCCACCATTTCTGCAAACTTCAGTCTTAAAGCCAGTATTAATTTTGCTATGCCCCACTCCACCGTGGAATACATTATTTCTGGTTTACTGTCTTAGCCAGTTTCAGAAGCTTTCATTTGACTTTTCCCACTGTGGCGGCTCTATTTCACAGGCCAAGGAACCAGTGAGAGGGTTCTCCCAACTCCCAAGTATGCCTCTTAGGCACACGGTCTAAGAGTATGCCTGGCTGCAGCCAGGAACTAGGAAAATGTCCACTAGTTGGGTCTATGAACCAAGAGGATCGATTGAGAGCCAGGCCTGAGCCAATACTCAATTTATTACCTGGCCTTCGTATTCCTGGCTTCCCTATATGCTCCACTCTAAAACGGGTCCCTGGGTATCAGTGCCAACTAAGACCCTGTCTCCCACTGTGTTTTAATATCTGGGTATTCCTCTTC